GAATATTAGATTGAGCAAGTTTAGTGATAGGAAGACGAGATCCTTCACCGACTAATACCAATAAATTTGAATTGTTGCAGGTATTGCTAAATGACTTGAGAGTACCTGAATCGGCGTGAAGTGTTTTTTTAACCATGGCACAACAGCCTAATAATCAACCAAATAATTGGAAATGGTTTCAATACCCGAATAATATGGATCAACTGACTGCCTTACTGCAAGCGTTCAATACTATGACCCATCAAGATCCAGGCAATGTAGATTGGTACATGGAGACCGGGGCAACCTGTTGTTGGGCTGAAGCTAGATTCAAATTGGGCCAATGTTGAGGGAAAGAAGAATTTGCACTATTGGGCCATTAAGCTTGATGGATCGGTGGATGTGGCAGCAGCCCACGCTACTGCTGTTGACTTTGAGTTGTCGACCAAGGGTAAGAGGCACCCCTTCTCCAATTGTTTGGAGTGTGACTTAAAACACCGGTGTCGCCTCTACTTTGTCGTCTACCCTTCTGCCGCCATTTCGACCGTCGTCGCTACCACCTCGCTGATTTCGACCACCGCCTCCTTGATTTTGGTGTTCAATTGTGAGAACAGTGGGGGCGATGTAGTATCTTGGTGTGAAGCGAGAAATTGGCATGAGTGGTCTTTAAGCATGGATCGTCCTTCAAGTGTGAGCATTGAGCACATCTCGAGGAAGGTGGGGAACGGCTTCTGGTGTCTGATGGTGGTGACAATGTGAGCAAACTTCAGAGATAGGCCATTGATGGCATAAATGTCGAGGTTTCTTTCAGGTACCAGAGAGCTAATGTTAGCAAGAAGGTCGGAGATGGACTTGATGCGAGTACAATACTCCATAACTGAAGAATCTCCAATGGTGATGGTATGAAACTCATCATCTAATTCCATATCTTTTGTTTCTTTATTCTCATGAAATAAACCTTCAATGGTCTTCCATACATCTGCTACTGTGGCGTTGGGTTTGAGGATAGACTAGAGAACATGTTGGGTGAGAATACCATATAACCATTGCTTGACAAAATTGTCAACTGTCTCCCATTCTGGATCATCTTCAAACTTAGAAGTACCATCAAGATGTCCATAGACTTTGTATCCAATGCAGTGAGTTTTAAGCATTTCTTTCGAGGAGTCATAATTCAAGCGGTCGAGATCAAGGAGAAGGGGAACATAAGATTTAATGTTTGTTATCCCATAAATTTTATCATTAGGAGAGGTTTTAGGAGTAGAAGGCGATCCAATCATAATGAAAAACGAGAAGGGAGAAGCTTGAAAAAAAACAAAAAAAGAGAACAACAGATGTAGTAGAAAAGAAGACGATGACAACCACATGAAGGGATCGGCTAGGGTTAGGGATAATAGTAGCCTGATACCATGTTAAGAAAGATAATTTCCCTTGAAGAGGCTACAGGCCTTTACGTGAAATAGATATAAGACATACAATTGGGCTCATTGTACAACAGTTGGCTAACTAAAGAACATAATACTTGGGCGCCAATTGTATGCCTGTCATCTGGTTTGGTGGTGGTGGTGTCTAGAAAACCACCGGCTGTACGCCTACCATCAAGTTTGGTAGTGGTGGTGGTGTCTGGAAAACCACCGGTGGTGGTGGTGGTTTGGCGGTAGCTGTTGGAAGAGACTCGGTGTGACGCTAGCATCTTCCATCGTTAGCAGTGTCGTACTGCTTGGTATCATTTCTAGTGGGGGTGCTTGTATCAAAGTGCTTTGTGTTGACACATCGACGGAAGAAGGTTGTTTTCCATTGACTGGTTGCTCTTTTCCAGTTGTTAGTACAATAATGACCATTGAACCACCTTTTTTTTACGCTTCGTCGACGATAACTATGGGAGTCAGAGTAACCGTTTGCTCCAGCAACATCATAGGCCTAATGGGGCTGGTTGGCATTCTACCGATCCCCCTGTATCGCCAGAACCCCTTTTCACCGATGAATTATGTGCTTTTGGTTTTTTTTGTCACACTTTTGGATGGCGCCAAATGATGTGACCTGGTTCTTCTTCAGCGACGTTCTTCATTTGTGGTTGCTCCGATGAATCTGTGAGGTCACAACAAGAAAGGGCCGTCAGCCATTCTCCATGAGGGGCTCCAGGGAAAATGCCCCGATGGTCAAGTTAGTGGATAGATTTGGGGTTGTATTGTGGGTAAACTGAGAGAGAATCACTTACTCCCTAGGGCGCCTAGAGTAGCCTTTTATACTAGACGTGTCTGCTAGTCTGTACGGGACAAGGGTGCCACACCCAATAGGATTGGGGATGCTGATTGGTGGATTATACTCCTTAATCTGTCAGAGCTAACGGTTGGTTCAGGCAGTAATGTATAAGTATCTGCCTTATCGGCTAACTGTTATATTTGTCCTAGAATGGATGCCCCTCGGGTTGGGCCGAGCCTTTCTCTGCGAGCACCCTGCTCTTAGGGGTGCTGACGGGCGTTGGATTCATTCGGGTTTAACCTGCCAGTTGGCATTCTCTTGCGTGACCGGGCGCGGCTCCTCCGTGCGAACTAGGGCACGCCATCAGTTGGGAGTGTATGGTGAAGTTCTCTCATGTTTGATTCCATTATCTTCATAGAAGGTGTCAAACTCTTGGTTGAAGTTTTCTACGCCTCTGTCCGTGCCAAGAATTTTGAGGTGTCTTTCAAGTTGATTTTCGACTTTAGCCTTATACTGTTTAAATGCATCAAAAGCTTCATCTTTTTATCTCAACAAGTAAAGATGTAGATATTGAATGGATTCATCCCATAATGTGATGAAATACCTTTTTCTTACTCGACTAAGTATTCCATTTAATTCACATATATCAAATGAATCAACTCAAGTAATGAAGTATTTCTCTTAACTGATGGGATTGGTTTATGCCATAAAAAAATTGAACAAACAAAATAACCGGAAAAGTTCACTTCATTCATGTTAGCAACCAATCTACCAATTACATCATTACTAGCAACACTAGACACACTTGCAACACTCGAACTAGCACCATTACCCTCAACACTTGGCCTACTCACACTACCCTCATCACCAAGGCACAAACGATACATTCCTAAACAATTGTTTTCCCTCCCAACATATATTCTGCCCTTAGTGATCACAATTTTGTCATTCTCAAGCACCATCTTGAACCTACCCTTGTCAAACTTGTCTGCAGAAACCACCCCTTTCGAGATAGTAGGAACATGAAGAAAATCTCGAAGGGTAACCCATTCACCACGTGTGAACTTCAAAAGAACATCACCTCTTCCTTGAACTTCAGCTCTGTAACCATCAGCACAGACGACTACCATTCCTGGTGGCATTGGATGGTAAGTGAGGAAGCTCTCTCATTGCCCACAAACATGCATAATGACTCCAGTGTCCATGAACCACCCTCGAGCACAGATTGCACGGGTAAGGGAAGAGATCATAAAAATCTCTACAATGTTCACTCTTGCCACCATATCAATGACTTGCTCAACTGCATGTGGTATCGGTCCTGATTTGTGATCTTTGTATTCTCTCGTATAGTGCCCAATCTCTCTACAAATGTGCAAGGTACGACCCTCTTTGACTTTGAGTTAGGATCCTGATGACTCGGTTTCTTGATGCTTTGTTTCTTGGGTTCAAAGTTCTTGTTAGTCTCTTAGATTTTCCCTTGTGACCAGAACTAGTTGATGACACATGATGCACACTCGATCTAACTTTACCATGCTTGTCTCTGATGCGAGTTTCATCCTCAATACAGAGGCATTTCATTAGATCATCCAAGGAGTAGTCCTCAAATTTGTGCATCATTCTCTTAGAGAAGTCTTTCCACAAGGGTGGCAGTTTTGCGATGAGCGCACCAACCTGAAAGAGTTCTGGGATAGATGGAGAGTGCATTTAGCTTGTTAACAATGACTTGGAGTTCATGCACTTGCACCATGATAGATTTGTCATCAACCATCTGAAACTCTAGGTGCTTAGACACAAGGTACTTGTTAGTACCTCCCTCATGTGCCTTGTACTTTAGTTCCAAAGCACTCCATAGGTCTCTTGTATCTTTGACCAACATGTAAAGATCATAGAGCCGATCAGACAATGAGTCCTTGATGTGACCCACATGACGTTCTTCAGACTCTCTACGTAGAGCTCTTTGCTTTTCCAGTTCGGTGATGATCGATGGGTGCACAGTTTTCCCCGCCTCGGGAATTGGATTAGCAGGATTTGGGGTCAGGTTAGGGTCCAACACAAAGGCTAGCTTCAACACATGAAGCATGAAGTTGACCTTTTCGGCCCAACACGTGTAGTTCTAACCATCGAATTGGTGAAGCTTAGTGAACTCTTGGTTCATGAAGTGGAGGCTAGTAGTAGGGAATTGGATTTGCAGGAATTGGGGCCAGGTTAGGGTCCAACACAAAGGCTAGCTTCAACACATGAAGCATGAAGTTGACCTTTTCGGCCCAACGTGTGTAGTTCTAACCATCGAATTGGTAAAGTTTAGTGAACTTTTGGTTCATTAAGTGGAGGCTAGCAGTAGGGATTTGGTTTTCCATTAGTCTATTAATTTATCACAAACAACACAAAAACCTTTAAGATTGTTGTAAAACAAACCAATAGACAAGCAAGAAAACTAACAAATAATATTTGAGGATTATATGTTGATTAATTGCAGAAGAATAGTTCCAGTTATTATTATAATTACCAAGTTTTGTCCAGATTCGTATATCAAATACGGCTCGAAGCGCACGCACTTGCAATGTCGTTTAATGCTAGGCTAGGCGCACATATGTGGGCTAGGCCCATTCTTGGATACACTAAAGACTTTAAATGCCTATCAAGGGAAAGAGTTATAAACCTACACAAGGTTTCTCCCCCACCAATACCGGATAAAGGAAAAGAGCCAACTCATTATTATTCCTTCATAATTTCCAACAAATACCAATTATACCTTCATAATTTCCAACAAATACCAATATACAGCTGCAAACATTACAGATGACATTTTTTAATTGCATCCACACAATATTCCAACATTAACCACAATTTTAAGCAGCCTTCAAATAAAAAGCAATTTAAACTACAGCCATGAGGAGATATACTCACACTTGTTTAAATAAAAGAAAACTCCCTCACAACATAAAAATATAAGTGAAAGAAAACTCACCTACAAAAAATCCCCGCCCATAATAATCATATATATAAGGATGATACACATACATGGCTTCTGATTATCAAAGACATTAGATTCTGATTACTTAAAGACTATATTTGATTTTAAAGGCAGTCTCGATATTACAGCCAGGGATCTGAATCGATTTGGTTCCGTCCTTGATTCTTGCAATCGTGGTATCATCTGTGTCAAAGAGGAAGGGCCCAATTCCCTGTGGCTAAAAACCCATAAGAAAACTCAAGAATTCTATAATATATACAATCCAGTCAGGAATTTAGGAAGTAGGAACAGAGAATGCAACTGATATGATTAGGGAAAAAGTGAACCAATAACTTCCTCAATAACGTCATCTCTGTCGGAGCTTTTCATAGCGTCAACAATCGCTATAAGTGTCATCACAAAAGCATAATCGACATTGGGATAAATTGTCACCATGAATTTGTCCTTAACGTACTCCCCATTCTCCCGTGTTTGTGTTTCATACATCTACAAGAATAAGTCTATTAATTAGTTTCACCTCGTCGTTTTATATCTTTTCAGTTATACACACGTAACTGAAAACATGGAAACCTACAAACCAAAAGTTATGAAAATTACTTGGGCGATTGTTGTTGAAGTATCTCCCATATAGACAGTGCAGGTTTTCTTCGACCAGCTTCCTTTGATCTTGAAATCACAAACATCTTTACTACTTACTTTGTTTGCCAAGAACACATGTACACTGGTCTTAGACTGGATCATGCTAGGTGTCTTTGTGCTAAATATTATATCCGATTTGCTTTTACTATCACCCCTAAACACATTCCATCGATTATGCTCACTCATGATCTGAAAAAAAATATGCAGTCCATTAATTTTCAATAGTAAATTTAACTTCAAACTTCCTGAACAAACCAAAGAATTATAAATATGAACCTAAAGTCACCTTCTCTCGGATCATGCAGATGGGTTTGTCATAAACATCGAGCAGCACTCGCTGAAGGTGGAAGGATGAGTCGCATGGTTTCACTTTGAGCATGATTTTATGGTTAGTATCTGTGATCACAAGGTTTCCGCTTGAATTTATATCAACTATCATATCGAATTGATATGGTACCATGAACTGTGATCCTATCACAGAAACTGGAGAGAATAAGGGTGCATAGCTTGATTGAGCCATGATCAATACACACTGTGATCAGATCGTTCTTGATGGAGAGGATGAGTTTTTGAAAGGCTTTAAATAAGATCTCCATGTTGACGGATTACTTCTATGGGGTTAGGAAATTTGTCAGTACAAGTGTACAGCTCAACACGGAACTGTATTGACAAAGTCTTACTTTGCAAATGTCATGAACATTTACATGATCGTATGTATATATATATATATATATATATATATATATATATATATATATATATATATATATATATATATATATATATATATATATATATATATATATTCTTCAATGGGGTATTTGTAAAAAGATCAATATAACAAGGATTATTGATTTTTCTTTGAGAAAAGTCGATGTTGTATGGATACGTAATGTCAAATCATGATATTAGTAATTGGTCTTAATTTATGTTTATTATTTAATTTTTAGATGGTTAACAAAGAGTATAAGTAAGGGACGCTGTTAAAAAAAGTATAAGGGATACTAGAAATAAGTTAAAGGATATATATATATATATATATATATATATATATATATATATATATATATATATATATATATATATATATATATATATATATATATATATATATATATATATATATATATATCTGTGATTAATTGAAAAAGAAATAAAAGATATTTGTTTCATTATTTGATTTTTGAACTTTATTTTGTAGCTAGTTATTTTATATTAAAAATATAAAATATACAATAAACAATATTCTATGATTTTAAATGTATGAACAACTTCTTTTGAGTGTTATATTTAGTCAAATTAATTTATATTTTTATACAAACGGAGAAATGCCAATTGAAAATTTATATTGACGTAACAGAAAGTTTAAAAAAAAAAAAAAATGAAAGTGCCTTTTGACATTTTTTATTCATGTTGTTGACATTGACCAACACAAACAATAAACAGATAATCGCAAACATGGCTAATCAAAATGAAAAATAAAGTACTCAAATCCACAAGCAATAAATAGATAATCACAAACATGACTAATTAAAACTAGAAAGGTTACTCAAGTTACGCTGGATCAGAAGCTTTCAATATTGTTTTCAAATCCATAAATATAACAGATGTAGAAAGTGCAATGCTAACTGCAAGGATCAGAAGTTTTAAAATTGTTAAAGAATTAAAAGGGTAGGAATTATCAAATTTTTATTTCCGAATCGATAAATATAACAGACGTAGAAAGTGTAAGAATGAAAAGCCCGGAGTTTGCCCCGGACCGTTTTTTTCATGTTTTAAGGAAAAAATGTAAAAGTTTTGACTGCAAAGATCAGAAGTTTCAAAACGGTTAAAGAATTAAAAGGGTAGTAATTAACAAATTTTTAGAAAAATGATCAAAGTTGTCAAACCGTTAAAATCTTGTGGCCAAACCTTAAATATTAAAAGGTTCCTAAAAAATGTAATGAAACGACCCAAAAATACGACCCAAAAATTTTGTTTTTCAATGTAATCAAAACCATAATCTGAGCATCATAAAATAAAAACATACGCGATGTATCCCAAATCATAATAAAATACTGTGCGGAAAAACTGTGTCATACTATATCAAATCAAGACAACTAAAACCATCCCCAGGATAAAAGCTAAGCTGTGGTGTGTGCGATGCTATCACCCCGAGCTCTTCCCTTTGCTTGCGGAAGTACCTGAAACCAAAACTGAAACTGTAAGCACGAAGCTTAGTGAGCTCCCCCAAACTACCACATACCATACAGTATCATATAAACACATATTGGGCCTGGCCCACTGCATCGGGCCGAAGCCCGGAAACTGCATCGGACCGAAGTCCGGAACTGACTGGGACCTTGTCCCCTGCATCGGACCGAAGTCCGGAACTAACTGCATCGGACCGAAGTCCGGAACTAACTGCATCGGACCAAAGTCCGGAACTAACTGCATCGGACCGAAGTCCGGAACTATCTGCATCGGACCGAAGTCCGGAACCGACTGGGACCTTGTCCCCTGCATCGGACCGAAGTCCGGAACTGACTGACTGAACATGGCATAGCATAACACATCATCTAGCATGAACACATATACTGCATACTACATCGGGCCGTAGCCCGGAACACATAACACTTAACACATAAAACATAGCATACAAATCCTGTCTGAGCCACGAAGGCATCAAACATACTAGCTACTGCATCGGACCAAAGTCCGGAAACTACTGCTAACTGAACGGGCCGGCATTGTGGCCTTAGACCCGTCCCTACTGGAAGGAAACTCACCTCGTAAACTGGCTGCTGAGTGTGTGGCTCTGGAAGCTAACGGCTGCTGCTCCTGTATCTCCCCGGCTACAAGTCCATAAACACACTCAATCAAATACTAAACACTGCACTTGGGTAAAATGACTCTTTTACCCTTGGTCAAAGTTACTCTCATTTGGACTGACTCGCCGAGTTGGGCCACCCAACTCGCCGAGTCCTACTCTCACTTTTCAATCCTACTCGCTGCTACTCGTCGAGTATGGCATCGACTCGACGAGTACCCTCTTGATCCAAGAACTCAGACAATCTTCATCCGACTCGCCGAGCCGTATGAACATACTCGACGAGTTGTTCTTGATCTTAAGAAGATTGCCTTGGACTCGCCGAGTTGTATGAACAACTCGCCGAGTCCCTCCATTACTGAGTCTACCTTCAACTCGCAGAGTCCACTCTCTAACTCACTGGTTCCACTCAACACTGCTAAAAATGAAGGAATCGGGGACTCGCGACTCAACTCGCCGAGTCGTTCTTCCCGACTCGCCGAGTTGCCGCCATGCAACTGTTTTTCACCCGATTTTGCTTGAATCCAACACATACAAATGATAGATCTGAGTCCAATAAGCTGGTTTACCACGTAAAGTTTCCAACTTTACGTGTACAACACATGAATAAGGGAAAATAAGGCTAAAAGATGCATAAAAGGGATAGATCTAGGGTTAATATGCAAAGTATCCTCATAAAGGCAATAGATCTGGACTATGGGACTTCTCAATGAATAGATCCAAGGTTATCTCGGCTTATTAGGGCGTTCATGAAAGCACAAGGCTTGGAACAAGCATCAACTAGTTCTTAGAAGAGTTCTAATGGAGGTTTAAAGCATAAAACAAGAGGGGAATCCGAAAATACCTCCAAATAACTCAGATTTGCCCTTGGATCTTGCACAACTCTTCTTCTCCTTGCTCCTTTCTTCTTCTCCTTCTTCAAGCCTTCACAAATCACACAAAATCACTTATAAACTCTCAAGGATGAACTAGGGTTTTTCTCACAGTGTTCTCAGGGTGAAGGAGGCAAGAATGGGGCTATAAGGTGACTTAAATAGTGGGCAACCCGGGGATTTAGGGTTTCACCCAGACGGATGGACTCGCCGAGTCCGGGATATGGACTCGCCGAGTCTCCAGCTAACACGTGCTCGAAGTCGCGACCCTACTCGGCGAGTCAGGCTATGAACTCGCCGAGTCCCTCTTGCAAATCTTTAAAACAATTACTAATAAATTAACATACCGGGAACGGGTCGTTACAATTCTCCCCCACTTATCTCAGACTTCGTCCTCGAAGTCTGCTACGGCTGGATCTGCAAATATCTCCGGGTAGTGCGCTCTCATCTCCTCCTCAGCCTCCCACGTCCATTCAGACCCCTTCCGGTGCTGCCACTGTACCTTCACTAGCTGAATTACCTTGTTCCTCAAAGTCTTGGCCTTCCGATCCAGAATCGCGACCGGTCTCTCGATATAATTCAGGCTGCTATCAACCTGAATATCCTCTAGGGGAACGACTGCTGACTCATCCACCAAACACTTCCTCAACTGCGACACGTGGAAGGTGTTGTGGATCTGACTAAGCTCCTCAGGAAGATCTAACCGATAAGCAACCCGACCCACCCGGGCCAAAACCCTGAAAGGACCAATAAATCTGGGGCCCAATTTGCCCCTCTTCCGGAACCTGATGACACCCTTCCAAGGTGAGACCTTCAGAAGGACCATATCTCCCACCTGAAACTCCAAGTCCGAACGCCTCCTGTCAGCGTAGCTCTTCTGCCGACTCTGCGCAGTCTGCAGCCTACTACGGACCTGCTGGATCAACTCAGTCGTCTTGAGCACCACTTCTGTGCTCCCGATGACTCGCTGACCGACCTCGCCCCAACAAATCGGGGTCCTACACTTCCTCCCATACAGCATCTCAAAAGGAGGTCGATCAATACTCGCATGATAACTGTTGTTATACGAGAACTCCGCTAACGGAAGATACGTATCCCAACTGCCCCCAAAATCTAGAACACATGCCCTCAGCATGTCCTCAAGAGTCTGAATCGTCCTCTCGCTCTGCCCGTCAGTCTGGGGGTGAAAAGCGGTGCTGAAATGAAGACGAGTACCCATCTCGTCGTGGAACCGCTTCCAGAATCTGGATGTGAAACGGACATCTCGGTCTGACACCACCGATACCGGCACTCCATGACGTGCCACAATCTCTCGCACATAGATATCGGCTAACTTTTCCGCCGATATACTCTCCTGAATCGGAATAAAATGGGCACTCTTCGTCAACCGATCCACTACTACCCATATCGAATCCACTCCGCGTGCGGTCCTGGGAAGCTTGGTGACAAAATCCATGGTGATGTCCTCCCATTTCCACACGGGAATGTCTAACGGCTGCATCTTGCCGTGAGGTCTCTGGTGTTCCGCCTTGACCTTCCGGCAGGTCAAGCATCTCTCAACATACCAAGCGACGTCCCGCTTCATGCAGGGCCACCAATAATCAGGTCGAAGATCTCGATACATTTTCGTCGCCCCTGGGTGGATAGAAAACCGAGACTTATGAGCCTCGTCCATCAATACCTGCCGCACTCCACCCCAGTACGGTACCCATACCCTCCCATGAAGCGTCAGCAAACCCCGACTGTCATAATCGAACGAAGCTACTCGGCCCACTATCCTCTCACACTTCTGCCTCTCCTCCTTGAGGCCCTCCATCTGAGCCTCCTTGATCCGCTCCAACAACGGAGTGATCACTGTCATCCTCATACACAGATCTCTAATAGGGGCC